GCGAAGAAGCACTGGGTGGGGCCTCTGGCTCTTTTTTGGATGCGCTGTAATAAAGCCCTGCTGGAAGGAGCTCTTTCCTCAGCATCACCTCCTGCAGCCCGGGGCTACCCTTCCTTGTGTTTCCTTCCCTCAGGTTCCCGGTGCTGAGGATCAGACAGCTCTGTCCCTGGAGGAGTGCCTTAGGCTGCTGGAGGCCACTTTTCCTTTCGGGGAGAATTCCGAGGTGAGTGCAGGGAGAGGATCTGCATGAGGCCGTGGTTCCTGCTCCTTGGCACATCCAGAGGCACTGAGGGCTCTCCTTGGCTGTTTCCTGGGATTCCAGTGCTTGGGTGGATCTACATGGGGTCACTGTTCCTGCCCCTTGGCACATCCAGGGGCACTGAGTGCTCTCCTGTCTCTCTCCTGGGATTCCAGTGCCTCCCACACCCCTCACCCAGCCGCAGTCCCAGCAGCAAATTGGCTTTGGCTGCTTCAGGAGGCTCCAGGCATCTTCCCTGCAACCCCCTGGGGTGGGGGGGCAGTTAATTAAAGCCTTCTGGCTTTACTTCTCATTAATCCATGGCGAAATGAGGAGGAATAGACACCTCCAGTTTGCCCTGAGCGGAGGCAGAATGGTACTGGGCTGTGGGGGATGGATTGATGGGTGGAGGGATGGATGGAAGGAGAGATGGATTGATAGATGGATGGATGGAAGGAGGGATGGATGGAGGGATGGATGGATGGATGTCTCTGGAGCAGCAGCACTGAGTCCCCTCACGTGGTCAGTTCCCAGCTGCGGATGTCTCCACCCTGAGCGAAGCTGTGCCCGGGCAGAGCCGTGCCACGGGTGTCCCCTCCAGCCTGCTGTCCCCTCTCCTGGCCGAGACCGAGTCACCCTTCGACCTGGAGCAGCAGTGGCAGGACCTCATGTCCATCATGGAAATGCAGGTGAGCTCCAGGAGGACGTGGGAAGGGGTTTGTCCCTCCAGGTGTGACTTTGGGTGCTGATCTCAGGCACTGGAATATTGCCTAGGGAGGTGGTGGTGGAGTCTCTGGGAATGTTTAAGAGGCATCTGGATTTGGAGGATATGGTTTAGGGGTTAACAGCAGTGACAGGTTAAGGGTTGGACTTGATCTTGGAGGTTTCCTCCAACCTTGAGGATCCTCTGAGTGCCTCCTGGGGTGGTTTTTGGGTGGTTCCAAGCCCATCCTGGCTGGCTGTGCCAGGGAGGGTGCAGGGCACACAGCTCCTGCCCAGTCTGGTTAGGGTTTAGGGGTTCCAGCATTAAAGGTTCGACTCAGTGATCTCGGAGGTCTCCTCCAACCTTGAGGATTCTGTGACTCCTGCACCGTCGCGGTTTGGGGTTGGGCACAGCCGCTGTGGTGGTTTGGTGACATTGTGGCATCTGCTGCTGTCCTCACCTGGGGCAAACTCCTCCTGAGGGAGCTGGCACGTCGTCCTGCCCTTGGCTCAGGCAGAGGAGCTGCTCCAGGAGCTGTCGGTGTGTGTTGCAGGCGATGGAGGTGAACGGCTCGGCGGCCGAGGGGCTGTACGGCGGCGCGAGCGCAGACCTGCTGACAGCCAACTACAGCCTGGCCCCCAGCACCCCCATCAACCAGAACGTCAGCCTGCATCAGGCCTCGCTGGGCAGCTGCTCCCAGGACTTCTCCCTCTTCAGCCCCGACATGGAGAGCCCCTCCATGGCAGGAGGCTCGGCCCTGCTCCAGCTGGCGCCGGATAACTCCACCGGCCTCAACAGCACCTTCGGCTCCACCAACCTGAGCGGGATCTTCTTCCCACCACAGCTCAACAGCACAGTCAACGAGACCTCTGGCCCCGAGCTGCCTGACCCGCTGGGAGGGCTCCTGGACGAGGCCATGCTGGATGAGATCAGCTTGATGGACTTGGCCATCGAGGAGGGTTTCAACCCCGTGCAGGCCTCGCAGCTGGAAGAGGAGTTTGATTCCGACTCAGGTCTTTCTCTGGATTCAGGCCACAGTCCTGCTTCTCTGAGCAGCTCCGAAGCCTCATCCTCCTCGTCCTCTTCCTCCTCGTCCTCTTCCTCCTCCTCGTTTTCCGAGGAAGGAGCTGTGGGTTACAGCTCCGACTCGGAGAACGTGGATTTCGAGGAAGCCGAAGGGGCGGTTGGCTACCAGCCAGAGTACAGCAAGTTCTGCCGCATGAGCTACCAGGACCCATCCCAGCTGCACTACCTGCCTTACCTGGAGCACGTTGGCCACAACCACACCTACAACATGGCCCCGGGAGCGTTGGATCCCGAGGAACCCAAACTCCCCAGCGCCAGCAAGAAGAGCAGCAAGGAGAAACCCTCGGAATTCCTGGACAAACAGCTGAGCAGGGACGAGCACCGCGCCAGGGCCATGAAGATTCCCTTCACCAACGACAAGATCATCAACCTGCCCGTGGAGGAGTTCAACGAGCTGCTGTCCAAGTACCAACTGAGCGAGGCCCAGCTGAGCCTGATCCGCGACATCCGTCGGCGCGGCAAGAACAAGATGGCGGCGCAGAACTGCCGCAAGAGGAAACTGGACACCATCCTCAACCTGGAACGCGACGTGGAGGATTTACAACGCGACAAGTCCAAACTGCTCAGGGAGAAGGTGGAATTCCTCAAATCCATCCGGCAGATGAAGCAGAAGGTACAACACCTTTACCAGGAGGTGTTCGGGCGGCTGAGGGATGAGAACGGACAACCCTACTCGCCCAACCAGTACGCGCTGCAATATGGCAGGGGCGGCGCCCGCCCGCCCCATCCCCGCGCCCCGGG